CATGATAATGCTGATGATGATGATGACACTACTGATTACGATGATGATGATGCTGATCCTACTGATGCTGACTGTGATGATGATGATGCTGATGATGCTGATTCTGATGCTGATGGTGATGATGATGATCATGATGCTGCTACTGATGATGAGGATGGTTATGAGGATGATACCGAGGATGATGATGCTGCTGCTGATGATGATAGCTGCTGATGATGACGGCGATGCTGATGATGACGATGACGATGGGGTTGATGACGATGATGATGATGATGATAATGATGATGAGGTTGCTGCTGATGGTAATGCTCATACTGATGATGATGCTGTTGATGACGATTGTGAATACGATGATGCTGCTGCTGATGATGATAATGCTGATGCTGATCATCATGATGCTGCTGCTGCCGCTGATGATGATGTTGATGATGATGGTGTTAAAGCTGATGATGGTGATGATGATGACGCTGGCGATGATGATTATGATACTGACGATGATGATGATGCTGTTGCAGATGATGATGTTGATGATGATGATGATGATGTTTGTGATGATGATAATGGTGCTGATGACGATGTTGATGATGACGACGATGATGATGATGATGCTGATAATGACGATGAGGGTGATGATGATGCTGATGATTATGCTGCTGATGATGGTGATGCTGATACTGATGCTGATGTTGCTGATGATGACGATGGTGACTCCGAGGATGCTGCTGCTGATGATGATACTGATGATGATGCTGATGCTGATGACGATGCTGATGCTGATGCTGACGCTGGCGATGACGATACTGATGATAAAGATGATGCTCGTGATGGTGATGATGCTGCTGAAGATGATGATTATGATACTGATGAAGATGATGATGCTGATGATGCTGTTGATGGTGATGGTGATGATGATGATGACGATGATCATGATCATGACGATGATGATGACGATGATGAGAATGATGCTGCTGCTGATGGTGACGATGATGATGACGACGATGATGATGATGATGATGATGATGCTGATGCTAATGCTGATGATGATGATGGTTGTGATGAAGATAATGATGATGCTGATGATGATGATGATGATGATGATGATGTTGTCGTTGTTGTTTATACTGATATTTGATGCTGGTGATGCTGGCGATGATGAGGATGAGGATGAGAATGAGGAGGAGGAGGAGGAGGAGGAGGAGGAAGAATGGGGGGGAGGAGGATCAGGAGGAGGAGCAGGAGGAGGCTGAGAAGGAGGAGGCAGAGGAGGCGGAGGAGGAGGATGAGTGGTTGGATGACGGTCAAAGGGCAGCATGAGGATCGAATAGAAGGAGACGGATGCTGGTGATGCTGATGATGTTGATGATGATGACGATGACGATGATGACGTCGACGACCCCGATCATGATTATGTAAATGATGCTGATGCAGGTGCTGCTGCTGATGATGATGATAATGATGATGACGATGATGCTGATGACGATGATGTCGATGCTGCTGGTCTGGATACTGATGACGATGACGAGTATGATCATGCTGCTGATGATGGTGATGCTGATGCCGATGCTGACACTGATGATGGTGATGACGAGGATGGGTAGGATGAGGAGGAACAAACGTAGGAGGGGGATGGGTATGCGGATGAGGATGATGATGATGCTGATTCTGTTGACGATGATGGTTGTGCTGATGATGACAACGAGGATGGTGATGCTGCTGATGATGATGACGATGATGATGATGATGGTGGTTGTCATGATGACGATGCTGATGATGATGACGACGATGCTGATGATGATGTTGATGCTGATGGTGATGATGATGGTGGTTATGATGACAATGCTGATGATGCTACTGGTGATGATGCTGATGCTGATGCTGATGCTGACTGTGATGATGCTGATGATGCTGATGATGCTGATGATGGTGCCGATGCTGTTAATGACGATGCTGATGATGATGCTGATGATGATGGTGCTGACGATTAGGATTATGGTGCTGATGATGACGAGGCCGACGATGATGCTGCTGCTGATTCTGATGTGGCTGCTTCTGATGATGCTGATGATGTTGCTGCTGGTGAAGGTGACGATGACGATAACGATGATGATGGTGATGCTGATGCTGATGAGAACATGCTGCTGATGATGTTGATGCGGGTGGTATGGCGATTGTGGTGATGATGATCATGCTGATGCTGATAATGATGATGATGATGATGATGCTGACGATGACGATGATGTTTTTGATGGTGATGAGGAGGCTGACGATGATGATGCTGATGCTGACGCTGATGATGGTTAGACGATGATGGTGATGAGGACGATGCTGATGATGGCGAAGGTGACGGTGACGGTGATGGTGATAGTGGTGGTGATGGTGATGGTGATGCTGCAGCTAATATTGATGATGATGCTGATGATGATGATGATGATGATGATGATGCTGATGATGATGATGATGATGATGATGATGTTGATGACGGTGATGATGATGCGGATCAGTATGAAGATTATGATAATGATGTTGCGCATGCTGATGATGAATCTGATGGTGATGATGATAATGATGCTGTCGATGATGCTGATGCGGCTGCCGTTGTTGATGCTGCTGCTGCTCCTGCTGCTGATGATAGTCATGCTGTTGCTGATGATGATGTGACTGCTGATGCTGATGGTGCTGATGAAGATGCTGAGGGAAGTGATGCTGCTGATCATGACGATGATGATGATGATGATGATGATGATGATGATGATGATGATGATGATGATGATGATGATGATGATGATGATGATGATGCTGATGATGATGATGATGATGATGATGGTGGTGGTGGTTGTGGTGGTGGTGGTGGTGGTGGTGGTGGTTGGCGGTGGTGATGATGATGAGGGGGAGGATGAGGATCAGGAGGAGGAGAAATATGAGACGGAGGAGGACGGGGAGGAGCACCAGAAAGATGCGGATGCGGAAGAGGAGGCGGATGAGGAGGTGGATGAGGCGGATGAGGCGGATGAGGCGGAAGAGGAGACGGGGGAGGAGGGCGAGCAGGAGGAGCAGACGGGGGAGGATTAGAAGGATGACGAAGAGGCGGAGGAGGAGGAAGATGAGGAGGAGGCTTAGGAGGAGGAAGAGGAGGAGGAGGATGTGGAGGAGGAGCAGGTGTAACAGGAGGGGCATGAGAAGGGGGAGGCGGAGGAGGAGGATGAGGAGGAGGAATAATCATAACGCGACAAGGATATACGAAAACTAACAAGAATCATGCTAACAAGCTGATGATAATGATAATAATATTAAGAATGACGAGAAGAAGGCGAATACGAATAATAATATCATATATCTGAGAGGGAATGAGCAAACTATACGCAGAAGAAGAGGAGGATGCGGGTGAGGAGGAGATGAGGAGGAGAAACAGGATGACACGGCTGGAGAGGAAGCGGATGAGCAGGATGAGGAGGATGCGGAGGAGGATGAGGAGGAGGATGAGGATGCGTAGGAGGCTGAGGATGACGACGACGATGCTGTTGCTGTTGCTACTGCTGATGATGCAGATGCTGCTAATGATGCTAATGATGCTGGTGATGATGCTGATGGTGATGATGATACTGATGCTGCTGATGCGGATGATCACGACGATGCTGATGATGATTATGATGCTGATGATGCTGATGATGATGATGATGATGATGCTGGTGATGCTTATGCTGATGCTGCTGTTGATGATGAAGCTGATGATGCTAATGAAGCTGCTGCTGATGATGCTGATTATAGTGATGATGTTGATGTTGACGATGATGTGTTTGATCATGGTACTGATGCTGTTGATGCTGCTGATGCTGATGCGGATGCTGATGCTGCTGATGATGCTGAGGCTGCTGATGACGATGTTGATCCTGCTGATGCTGATGCTGATGGTGATGCTGATGCTGATGCTGATGATGACGCTTATGCTGTCGATGATGATGATGCTGTTGATGCTGATGACGACGATGCTGCGGCTGCTGATAATGATGCTGGTGATGATGATGCTTCTGATGATGCTGATGCTGATGCTGATTATGCTGATGGTGCTGTCGATGCTGATGCACATGATGTTGGTGATGTTGATGCTGGTGATGCTGATGCTGCTGATGCTGATGCTGATGCTGCTGATGCGGCTGATGATGTCGATGATGGTGATACACACGATGCTGATGCTGATTACTGATGCTGATGCTGATTCCGAGGATGATGATGCTGATGATGCTGATGATGCTGGTGATGCTGACGATGATGCTGCTGCTGACGATGATGATGCTGATGCTGATGATGATGATGATGATGATGCTTATGATGTTGAGGATGATAAGGATGATGCTGATGACGATTATGTGATGAAGACGACGCTGATCATGATTACTTTGATGCTGTGCTGATGCTGCTGATGCTGATTGCTGATGCTGATGATGATGACGATGATGATGATGACGGTGATCATGGTGGTGGTGATGATGAGGATGATGAGGCGGAGACGGGTGATGCGGAGGAGGAGGGGGAGGAGGAGGAGGAGGAGGAGGAGGAGGAGGATGAGGAGGAGGAGGAGGACGAGGATGCTGATGCTGATGCTGATGATGATGCTGATGCTGAGGCTGAGGCTGATGCTGATGCTGATGCTGATGATGCAGATGCTGATGCGGATGCTGATGCTGATGATGAAGATGCTGCTGCTGCTGCTGCTGCTGATGCTGATGCTGATGCTGATGATGATGATGATGATGATGATGATGATGATGATGAGGATGGTGATGCTGCTGATGCGGATATGGTGATGATGATGGTGATGATGGCGACGACGACGATGATGATGATGAGGATGAGGAGGAGGAAGAGGAATAGGATGAGGCGGCGGCGGAGGAGGAGGCGGAGCAGGAAGAGGAGGGGGGGGAGGAGGAGGAGCGGGGGAGGATGCGGCATTCTCGTCACTATCGCAGCCCCCCCTGTCGCCGCTCACTCCGCGCCGCGCTGAGGAGGCCGAGCGGCGCGCGGTCCGCCTGCGCGCGGAGCTCGGGGACGCCCGCCGCGCGGAGGCGGCGGCGAGGAGGCAGTTGGCCGCGGAGCTGGAGGCCGTTCTCGAGGATCGAGGCTCGAAGATAGAGGAGGGGGAGATCGAAGTTGGGGAGGATGATGATGAGGATTAGGATGACGATGGGGACGAGGAGGAGGATGCGGATGAGGAGGAGGAGGAGGAGGAGGAGGAGGAGGAGGAGGAGGAGTAGGGGGAGGAACATGAGGAGGAGGATGAGGAGGATGAGGAGGGGGAGGAGGCGGATGAGGAGGAGGAGGAACAGAAGGAGGAGGAGGAGGATGAAAAGGAGGGGAGGAGGAGGAGGAGGAGGAGGAAGACGACGAGGAGGAGGAGGGAGGAGGAGGAGGAGGAGGAGGAGGAGGAGGAGGAGGAGGAGGAGGCGGAGGAATGAAGAGGAGGCGGATGCGGAGACGGAGGAGCAGGAGGAGGCGGAGGCGGAGGAGGAGGAGGAGGAGGAGGAGGAGGAGGAGGAGTAGGAGGACGAAGAGGAGGAGGCGGAAAAAGAAAAAAGACTGAGGAGGAGGAGGAGAGGAAGAGGAGGAGGAAGAAAACAAGGAGGAACATAAGGAAACGAAGGAGGGGGAGCAGCAGGAGGATGAGGAGGATGAGGAGGATGAGGAGGCGGAAGAGGCAACGCGGAAGATGATGATGCTGATGCTGATGCTGATGCTGCTGATGCTGCGGATGATGCTGATGTTGATGCTGATGATGATGCTGCTGATGATGCTGATGCTGCTGCTGATGCTGACGATGCTGACGATGCTGATGATGATGATGATGGTGGTGCTAATGCTTCTGCTGCTGATGATGATGCTGCTGATGAAGATGATGCAGCTGTTGCTGCTGATGCTGATTATGACGATTATGATGCTGATGATCCTGATTGTGATGCTCTTGCTATCGTTGCTGATGATGCTGATGATGCTGATGATGTTTCTTCTGCTGCTGCTGATGATGATGCTGATGATGATACTGATGATGCTTCTCATGATGATGATGCTGCTGTTGATGAGGATGGTCATGATGATGCTGATGATGATGATGCTGATGCGGCTGCTGCTAATGATGATGCTGATGCTGTTGCTGATGCTGATGCGGATGCTGCTGATGATGTTGTTGAGGATGATTATGATGATGATGAGGATGAGGATGAGGATGATGATGATGGTGACGGTGATGGTGATGATGATGGTGATGTTGATGATTATTTTGATGATGCTGCTGATGATGATGACGATGATGATGCTGTTGCTGCTGCTGATGATGATGATGAGGATGAGGATGAGGATGATGATGAGGATGATGATGATGATGATGATGATGATGATGATGATGCTGATGATGCTGATGCTGATGCTGCTGATGATGACGATGATGATGATGATGATGATGATGATGATGATGATGATGACGACGACGACGACGACGACGATGATGATGATGATGATGATGACGACGATGATGATGATGATGATGATGATGATGATGATGATGATGATGATGATGATGATGATGATCACGAGGATGGGAAGGGGATCGAGGTTCGAGGAGGAGGAGGACGAGAACGAGGCGGAGGAGCAGGACGAGGGGGACGAGGAGGCGGCGAAGGAGGAGGAGTAGGAGGAGGAGGAGGATAATGGGGCTTGAGGAGGAGGAGGATGAGGAGGATGAGAGGGAGGATGGGGATCGATGATTGAGGAGGAGGAGCAGGAGGAGTAGGATGAGCAGGAGGAGGAGGAGGAGTAGGAGGAGGAGGAGGCACTGGTTCGCGGAGCTGGAGGTCGTCCGACGCCTGAGGGTCGAGGATCCATTCCTTATGCAGCCACAGGGGGCCGTTTCGGAATCGGTGTTCCTCATCGTCCTCCTCCCCGTCCCCCGTCCTACTCCCCCTCATGCTTCTCAAGCGATCGCGAACATGGATCATGGGGGCGTGGATTGGCGTCGGGTCCCTTTTCCATAGGAAATCTCGGATTTCCTCCGCCGAGCGAAGCGGCACCGGCCGCATTTGGGGGAGTTGAGCGCCAAAGCCATGGATTGCAAACCACGTCTGCGCGCCCCTCCTCATCGTCGTCGTCGTCGTCGTCGTCTTCCTCCCCCTCCTCCTCCTCCTCCTCCTCCTCCTCCTCCTCTTCTAGGAGTAAGGAGGCTGGCTGATCGCGGTGGAGTCGAGGTTGTTGGACGTTTTTTTCCTCTTGAGGGGTGCCTCCAGGGGGCCGTCTCGTCGCTACGGTCGGATCCGCCTCGAGTGACCACAGCGCGCCCCTGGACGAGCCCTGGGGCAGGCTGGGGGCGGGCTCTTGATGGAGTCTGGGATGCTGCTTGATTTCCCGTCGAGTCTTGTGCCACTCAGCGAGGCAGTCTTGGCACGCTGAAGCTCCCCACCCCCCCAGGCCGGGATGCTCTCGGACTCCTGGGCGCTCCGCCTCCCCTCGATTCGCGCGGGCGGGCGAGAGGCTCGCGCCCCGCGGTCTTCTGCGGGGTTCGTCGCGGGGAGGCCAGAATCGTCCCGAACGGCAGCTGCAGGCCTGAGTTTTTGTCGGGTGTTGCTAGAGGCGTTGTTGGTCCAAGGTGCCCCCCAGATTCCCCGGGGTGGCCTAGACGGCCGCCAGAGCACCCCTCACGAGGCCCAGAGGGCCCCCAGGGCTCCAGAATGGAGCGACAAGCTCGAGGCACCTCTGGGCCATGGGCACTTCTGGCAACCCGAGTTTTACGCTGGAGCCATCCGACGCATGGGTTTGACGAGTTTTTTGTTGTGCACGGCGATCGAGGCAGGGCTCCGAGATAGCCCAGCAGGGTTCCAGGAGGCCTCCAAGATGCCCCAGGAGGCCTTGACGCGATCCCAAGAGGGAGGCACCAAGAGAGGAGGATACATGATCAGCGGCGGGAAGAGGAGAAGGATGAGCAGGAGGAGGAGGAGGATGATGAGGAGGAGGAGGAGAAGGTGGAGGATCGCGGATGATCGAGCAGTGGAGTCGAGAAGGATTTGAGGAGGGTCGAGGATCGAGGAGGATCGACGATCTCGGAGGATCGAGGAGTAGGAGGAGGAGGATAAGGAGGAGGAGGAGGAGGAGGAGGAGGAGGAGGAGGAGGAGGATTAAGAAGCATTGGGCCGCGGAGCCGGAGGCCAGGGGGCGTCAACCACCCAGAGCCCTTCGCGTCGCGAAATAATCACGACGTGATGTGTGTGCGTGTGTGTGTGTTGCTGTTCATTCTTCTTTCCGCTATTGGACTCCTGGGATTCTCAGAGGGCCTCGGGGCCGTCAGGAAACCACTCGGGGTCCCCAGGAAGGAGTCGAGACTTTTGTGGGACGCCAACAAAGGGTTGCGGATCCATTTTGTTTTCGCTGGCGCCCTCCGAGGAGGAGGGGGGGGGAGGAGGTCGAGCAGGATCTAGGTGGATGAGGAGGAGGATTGAGCAGGAGGAGGAGGAGGAGGAGGACGCGGAGGAGGAGGAGGAGGAGAAGGGGGAGGAGGAGGAGGTGGAGCAGGAGGAGGAGGAGGAGGAGGAGGAGGATGGTCGAGGAGGGATTAAGCAGGGGGGGATAATGATCGACCAGGAGGAGGAAGTGAATTGACGATGATGCTGATGATTATGATGATGCTGCTGCTGCTGATGATGATGATGATCAGGTTGCTGCTGATGATGATCATGATGCTGACGAGCACGGTGATGATGATGATGATGATGATGATGATGATGATGATGATGATGATGATATTATGATGATGATGACGATTCTGCAGTTCCTGATGAGGTCGATAATGATGCGGATGATGATGGTGCTGCTGCTGCTGACGATGGTGACGCTGATCATGATGATGCTGATGATGTTAATGATGATGTTGCTGATGAGGCTGATCATGCTGATGATGGTGTTGTTGATGATGCGGATGCCGATGCTGATGCTGCTGCTGCTGATGATGATGACGATGCTGATTGTGGTGGTGGTGGTGGCGGTGGTGGTGGTGATTACGAGGACGATCTGATGATACTGCTGATGATGATATGATGACGATGGTGCTGCTGATGATGATACAGACGATGATGCTGCTGCTGATGATGATGATGATGATTATGTTGGTGGTGCTATGATGATGCTGATGATGATGCTGGTGCTGGTGTTGATGATGCTGATGATGATGTTGATGATGGCGGTGGTGATGATGCTGCTGATGATGATGCTGCTGACAACTGATGCTGATGATGAGGCTGCTGCTGCGGCTGCTGCTGCTGATGATGATGATGCTTCTGCTGGTGCTGATGCTTGTGCTGCAGCTGCTGATGATGATGCTGCTGCTGGTGATGCTGCTGCTGGTAATGATGACGATGATGATGCTTGTGATGATGATGACGACGATGATGATGATGATGATGATGATGATGCTGATTATGATGATGATCATGGTGGTTTTGGTGGTGGTGATGATGATGACGAGGAGGAGAAGGAGGAGGTGGAGGACGAGGAGGAAGAGGAATAATATTAATAACGCAATAATGGTGCTACTGATAATATTTGTAATATTAAGCGTAATAATAATTCGCATAAGAGGATATGTACCAATACTATGATCAATAAGAACAGTTGTACGGATAATAATAATACTACTACTAACGACATTCCAAATCCTGATCATCTTAGTAAGAGTAACCCTACTAATACCACCAGTAATAATTCCCTACCTAGGCTCTGCCTAGAAGGGTTCTTACTCTCTGGGCTTACAGGGGCCGGGCAGTGGAAAGCGCCCTGGGCGGTTCCCCCAGAATCCGCCCCGCGGTTCCCCCAGTTGCGCCCCCTGGGTTCACCCAGCCTAGCTTAGCTAAGCTTAGCTTGGCTTGGCTTAGCTTAGCTTAGCTTAGCTTAGCTTATCTCATCTTAACTTAGCTTAGCTTTGCCTAGCCTAGCTTGACTTAGCTTAGCTTAGCTTAGCTATGCTTATCTCATCTTAGCTTAGCTTAGCTTAACTTAGCTTAGCTTAGCTTATCTCATCTTAGCTTAGCTTAGCTTAGCTTAACTTAGCTTAGCTTAGCCTAGCCTA